TTTTACAACAACATAAAGCCCCTACCTCTCCTCTCGCTATCCCGACCAACAAGCGTGCCTCGCGCGCAAGCCACACAAAAACGGCACACGGGAGCAGAGTCGAGCCGTTGACGACGACGCGCACGCGTGCGCGTCGGGCGGGGGTGGGGCCGACGGCGGGAAGGCGGGCGGCTCGCGCGGCACGGGCTCGGGGACGTGGAAGAGGCGCAGAAGCATGCCCTCTATGTGGAACGGGCCCGCGGCCTCGAGGAAGAAGTGCATTGTGATGGCGGGGACGGCCGTGACGGCGGGGACGGCAACGGGGACGGCGGCGTCCTTGTGGCGGCCGCCGAAGACGTAGGCGGCGACGGAGCCCTCGGCGACGTCGCGCTCGACGCCGCCGCGGGCGTGGACCTCGGTGAAGCCCTTGCGGAAGTGGACAGGGACGCCCGGGACGAAGGCACATGTGGCAAACCACCAGCGGGACACGAGGGAGGCGGCGAGCGAAGAGAGGGTGGCGGCGGAAAGCGCGTGTTGGGTGGGGGCGATGCTGAAATGACGGCGCGAGAGCGAGGCCCAGATGGCCGGGTCCGCGGCGGCGGCCGCGGTGGTGGTGCACAGCTGGGAGAAGAGGGTGGTTTGGGCGGGGGTCATGCGGTGGAGAATGTGGAGGAGGACATTGTGCGGACATTGTGCGGAAGGTGAGGCAGCGCCTGCGATTACTTCTTTGGCGGAGGAGCAACAGCAGCAGCGCAGATGGGGGAGGCATGTCTGCTCAGGCATGTCCCAGGCGGCTTTCGCGTTTCGTCCGGAGAGCCCCCACGTCCTCACTGACACTGATCACAGCAATTAACCTGGGCCAACTTAATTCTGAAGCCCCTTTTTCAGGTCTATAACCATATTTAACATGGTCCGGATTAATTGTGAACCCAGATTAATATATGGTCAAATCAGACATGTTTCAGTTTATTTGTGAACCACTGGATTAACCTTGATTTCTAACATTGCTGACAAGTATTCAAGAAACTACGGCTCTACTTCTTGCCCACTGAAATGGACACGATGCTTGGATATTATTGTCTGCAGCTCAGAAAAGAACTGCTTCTCCTCCCAAAGACCATATCGAGGCGGCGACATGCGTTCTCGCCCTTTTTGAACTCTAAAGGCGACTTATCATAAGACTGTTTCCTCCAGGTCAAAACCAATAATAACCTGGTCCAGTTTATTTCTGAACCCAGGTTAATATATAGACCAAGGTTAATTGCTGTGATCAGGTGTGAGTAGGAGCAAAACTACTGCTCGTCAGTCAGGGGAGCAACTTGTGCGCTGTCGACATGCGCACACGTTTCAGGAGCGAAACGGTACCACTCCAGAAAAGTATTATTTGGTAGAAAGGGCTAATTTGGTGATTCAGTTCTCGTTGCTCTCACTGTACGAAAGCATGCCACTGAGGTAAGCGCAGTGCGGATAATCGGTGCAGTCATTCATCGCTGGACTCCAGGGAAACGCTCCGGGGCCTGGAGCATTCACTACGTCTACAGTTCCCTGCAATGTTGCCTCATCGCCTCTCCCCGTCCCGCCAACAAAAATGGCGGGCACAAAACTCCGTTAAAGGCCAAACAGTAGTATTCGATCCACGATCAAACACCTTCTCGTCCTGTTCACGAGACAGGTCTCCAGTTACGCACAATCCATGTCCCCTCCGATGTCGATTGGAATGCGTCATCAGGCAGCGCGTGCCAAGCAAATGGACAGACAGGACGCAATGGCCAAAGACCGACGGTAAAGAGCAGTAAATTTACTGAAGTGTGACCAATGGACTATAGGTTTCTTAAACGGTTTGAAAAAGATCGTATTCGTAAGTAAGTGCTACGAGGAGCCCAACAAAAGCCTTTATCGAGTTGTAGCGCATCCGCAGTACAACGACAGAATGACGAAATTGTCTTCGAAAAGCTGAAGGAAATTGTCAACAACGAAAAGTCCGCTGCACTTGCCATAAAAGCGGCAGAGATGCTCCTCAAAAGTTATGATAGCGATAAAAAGATCGTCATGAGTGCAAGTGCTCCCAGGCTACAAGGACCGAAAGCACAGTATCACAGGGGCAGAAAAGAAACGATTCAGCAGGGGACGCCTGCAATGTATCTGACATTTGGCGATTTTGTTGCACGCAGGAAGCAGGAAAAACTTGAGGAAGATCGGCTACAGCGACAAAAGGCGGAGGAGAAGGCTAACCGGCACAGAGAAAGAGAACTGCAGTAGGAACAGAAGTCAGAAGCGAAAAAGCTGAGGGAACAAAAAAGGTTGGAACGAATGAAAAGTGGCAAGGCCTTAAAGCCTGTCAACTCAACCAAGAAGCGGGCACGATCAACTCCGGTCCCAACGGCGCACGAAGACCCCTCCCCAATGTGTTTCAACTCCTCATCATTCCCCATCAATGTTGCCGCGTCTGCGTTACTTGGTCTCTCTGGTGCCAGTGAAATTACCAAATAGACCTTTTTCCAAAAAGCTGCGTATTGCCGCACCAATAAAAGAAAATTCGGGGTTTCTCTGATTCAGTAAGGCTACAGATTCTGTATCTCCTCCCAGTTGGTTAGCAAACGCGGAGCATCCATCACCACCAGTCTGACCTCATTTGGGCAAGTGGAAGTAGTTTTTAAGTTAATTTAAAAGGGAGATTTTGCGTTTAGTGGGGCGATCGTGGTCTTTTTGTGGCAAAAAGGGGGTGAAATCGCTTTTCTCGTAGTGTTGAGGGGGTGACGAGGTCAAATTTGCTGAGGCACCCATCCGATTGAGAAATATTTTTAGGGATTGTATGGGTGACATCATCTTCAACATGGGGGTGACATAAAATAATTTGGTTGTTCGTGAGGGCCGACAGAATCTGAACAAAGTGGACAGTGCTATAAATTGTACTAAATGACAGGCGAAATCGGATACTAAGGCGTTACTAAAAGAGCGGCTACTAGGCTACTCTGCAGTATCCCCATACAGCTGTTTCAGAGAGCAGTCCTTCACTGTGTGATCTGCCATCCGAGACAAAGTCCAGGAGTACACACGCTTCTTCTTCGCAGCAGGGCCATCATCCTAGACGACAATCCCCCGCTCTCTCCTTTACCGAAACCATCCCCACGACCATCCTCCACCATATTCCCAACCCCTTCCAAGTTACCCTTTCCGACGGTATGCCGTATTGTGTTACCGCCGCATCCTCCCCTACCGCAAGTCCTTGTCCGACGTAACGTCTTCTTCGGAATCAATTTCCAAGCACCCGGCCACCTCTCTGTCTTTCTCTAAATTCCTTCCTGCCTCACTCTCAAGATCATCTCCTCCATCTTCAAATTGTACTCCGTCGATGCATTCTTCCATTCTCTCCACGTTTGCGAACACCCCTGAATTTTCGCCATCCTTGCTGACATTTTCCTCGTCCATTTTGTCCGCGCTGCTCTCGCGAGAAGGATCGTCTGCTGTGCTGCAAAATCGGGAGAAAAGACGACGGGATGGTGGTGGAGTTATACATTTCTCCACCTCGTCCACATCACCGTTACGTTCACCGTTGGACATACTATCTTCATCCTCTCCATCCTTGTCAGTACCATCATTTTCAAGCACCGCTCGCAAGTGAGAAGCTATTTTTCTCTCTTTTTTCTCCCTTTTCTCTCTGTCCATTCCTTCTGCAGCTGCGCAGCCCTTGCTCTTTCTTCTCTCTCGTTTTGCAGTTGGGCGGCCCTAGCTGCCTCTTCGCTCTCTTTGCAATTGCTTCCAGGCTCTCGCCTGCCTCTCCAGTACAGCGTCTTCCTCGCTGTCGCTGCAAACGTTTGACGCGCCCTTCGAAGCCTTGTCGTGCTCTTCATTGTTCGAGCATTCTCTTTGGCGTTGAGTCTCCCTGACATTGTCTTGTTTCTCTTGCGCAGCGCGTTCCATTTTGTCGAGAGAGAGCTCTCTTTCGGAAGAGGTTTTGCTAAACGCGATGAATGCCGGCAGTAACACGACCTTACCACACTGAATACCCTCATCGATTTCTATGTACCGAAATTCGCTCTCCGCCTGCTTCATGGAACGCGTGAGTACTTTCATACGCCTGTCCGCACAGCGTGGTTGACCTGCCCGCACTTTGTCGGGGTGGACGAGAACGGCAAGACGCTTGTACTGTTTCTTCATTTCACGCAATGTTGCGTTGCGCACAGATACGCAAAAAACGTCCATGAGGGGTGTCACACCTTCTTCCACAGTGGCAAGGTGACGGATACCCTGGGCCATGGTCTGAGGCAATAAGCGGATTTTGAAAAGTCGAAACGTGCTCCTGCCGCTTTGTGCAGCGCATTGGTACATTTAACTCCCCCTTCGCTGGACACGGAGTAACCTAACAAACGTGATGCTGTGGCGTATTGTGGAGGTTGAGACAGTCGATAAGGAGGCCACATCGGCGTGGCCGATCACGAGATTAATTGTCCCTACAGTATCCGTATTCTATAAATGTTGAGTTTAAAAGCTCGATTACTTGCCATTTTGGATTACTACACGGGCGAAGAATTCCAATTGTGTTGTTTGGGACGGGTGACCAAAGGCGACATTTCAGTGGTCGGGTCTAACATACTACTGATATTCTTCCCTTCGCCCCCCTTATGCAACAAATTCGCGCAGTTCAACCCCTCAGCACTACAAGAAAAGCCATTTCACCCCCTTTTTGCCACAAAAAAGACCACGATCGCCCCACTAAACGCAGCATTAACTCAATTTAAAAAAGATGTTCCCAAATTATACTTTCCTAGAGTGGTACCTTTTATAATTAATTTTTTGATATCTGTCCGAAATTTCCCTTTTGTGGAAGGTACTACACAATGTAGCACATTTCTAGATTTTGAGAAATGTGTCATGAAAATGTGTACAGCGAAAAAAAGAGTTTCAGGAAGCCTCCAATGGAGGCTTCCTGAAACTCTTTTTGAATCAACACAGAACTCTTCATGCTCTGAAAGAGATTCAAAATTTACGCAACCGTCTGTACCACGAGGCTCATTTAGTCCATGCTTGACTTGTCCTACTTCAAATGGTGCGGTCTAGTGCGGTCTGGTACATGCTTGACCTTAAAGTCTTCAACGGAAAATATCCCAAGGACGACAACTCGAACACGCAAGATTGCTTCTAGGATTGAAAGAGATGGCACTCCGCAGCGAACAGCCTATCTACGAGTCGTCCAGAGCACGTTGTGAAAGGGATTTAGTCAATGAGGTGCAGCTTCTTACCTTTGATGTGACTCATCGATACGTTTTGCTTGTGGCAAGTGGTCCTGATGAATGGAGGCTTCCGGGATTTATTTCTTCCGACGTAAGTGACAGCTCGATAGTGAAGGTGCGCAGCGCTGCCAAGACGGTCATTGGTATCGAATTTCCGCTCATTATTCTTCGACATTGTTACTCTGAGGAGTTGTCCGTTGAAAGGGACGATCTTTCAGCTAGTATGGTCCGCGCTATTCTTGTTGCTCAGTGCCATGAGAAATCTCAACGAGTACCTCCTGGATGCAGTTGGGTGGCCATCACCAATGATCACAGAGCGGGTGTCGTCCATGTGTCGCACTCAGAGAAAGGAGCGGAGCAAGCCATTCGGCGAGAACTGGAACAGACCATAGCCAACGTTTCGCCGCCTAGACGAGTGCCTTGGGCGTCTATGGGATGGTATCCTGAAACGCTTCGAAAGGTGCGCGAAATATTGCATGGACACAATCTGCATGTGATGGGTGAATTGGTTCAGATCCGTGCGTCATCCAGAGGAGCCGTGCTAAGGATCAAGACGAATGAGAGCGATTACTACTTAAAATGCAGTACATCCACGTCCAACGATGCTGGAGTCACGTCAATAATGTCTCGCGTTGCTCCAGATCTTGTCGCCAAGCCGTTGTTCGCAGATGTGGAACGTCGTCAAATGATCCTTGTGGACCATGGTGACGAGACTGGCTTCTGTGGATTGGATGGTGAAGGACGGAAGCAGTTCGTAAGAGATCTGGCGCGTCTGCACCGCGCAAGCGCAAAAGTGTTGCCCGGTTTGTTGAAGGCCGGTCTACCATGTTATTCACCGCTATGGATGCGTGAGAACTTGAACTCACTTTTTCAGTGTAAGGAGCTTTTGTCCGTGCTAGAAACGGAACAAAGACAGAAGCTGTCGAGCATCAAGGTGAAGCTGCAAGATGTTCTGACGGAACTTGTTGATTGGGAAATGCCTAATTGTTTGATACACAATGACACAAGCGACGGGAACCTAATCAGGAAGAACGCCGATGAGGGTCCGGGGGTCCGGTTTTTCGACTTTGACAGCTCTTTTGCGGGCCATCCTTTGTTTGATGTTGACTGGTGCAACCGGGAAACCCTAGAAGTCTATGCACAGGAAATGGACATAGCTGACATTGACGGATTGTATAGGTTGAAGAGGAAAGTATTCTTCAATCTTGGGTGGCTCGTGCAAGCATATAGATACTTGGATATGGCTAGGGAAGCGGAAGACGGTGCTCCCCGGGAAGATGCCCTTCACTGGCTAGGGGGCAGTTTTCGTCGCTTGCTGCGGTGACCGAAGAAGGAAATGGTGACGACATATTTTTGGGCTGAGTTAACGTGTACGACGGTGCAGGCTGGGACGAGGCGCTCTGCAGGTGGCATCAGCTGTATGCGCTTCGTAAGGAGTCGGAAGGAAAGTATGAAAGTTTTGGCGGGAGCATCATCGTCAGGACGACAGTAAAGGAGCCATGAAAATCTTCAGTTCGTGCTTGCATGTATCACCCGGCTTCATGAAACGCCGGTCCATCTTTGACAACGAGGCGTACGCACACTGCACTGCGGTTGCCGCATTCGTACCAGACGGAGCACAAGTAAAACTCGCGTACAGGGGGAGCAGTGTTGGCATGAGTGCGGACGGAAGACATGTGATGTCTGCACCCTGGGACGAGACTATGAGTGTGTGGGACGTGGATAGAGGGATCACACTTCGTAGCGGGTGGGCAGAGGGCTGGCAAGACATCACGGATCGAATTATGTGGACCGCAGACATGGGCACTGTCTCATATACAGGATAAACATCGCATATAACTCTACGCAAGGGAAGAGTTGCGTGAAAGCGAGAGGACGAGTTCTGAGGCTGTCCTGGGTCAATTGGATACTACAGTAGACTCACTGATATGGCGCGATCATGCAGTTGTAGTTACAGTGGTGGGTAATGTGATTGTTTCTATGAAGATAGTGGTCTAAATTGCGAAAAGACATCAAAGGCATGTCGAAGAATGCTCGCGTCGAGACAGAAGTATCAGGAATATACAAGTGGGCTCCGTGGCGCGCGTTGCGCGCCGCAAGTGGGGAGGAATGCGAAAGGGTCTGAATGTAATAAGGTTTTTGAAATGACAGTTTCAATATAAAAAATGGAATAGAGTAGAAAAGTGGGAAGTCATGCAAAAGGGATTTGATTTAATAAAGGGGAGTGGTAAAAGCACGGGGTGGTTGAAAAAAACGTAAAGTAGCTTTATTTAAACTCTATCGGTAAAGTCCCTCTACGAAAGGACTTCAGGGAACACTACGTTGCGGGTAGTTTCATCTGCTTCCGATGTCAAAACAATGACGTTGCCAGGATGTGTGGTCCTGGACAGGGCAACATATAGTTGACCGTGAGAGAAGCAGCGGTTTCTAAGATCGAGTCCCAGGAGTCCTCCAAAAGACTGTCCCTGTGCTTTGTTTGTAGTCATGGCAAAGCAAGTGCGAATGGGAAATTGGGTGCTTGCAAATCCTGGGACAGGAAAGTTGTCGTCTCCGGGTCTGCAGGGCATGCGAGGCAGGCAGAGTGGCTTTCCCTGATGACTTCCAGTAGCTACGTGGAGACAAAGCAAGGTGTTGGACATTCTATCTACTATGTATCTAGCGCCGTTGGCATGTCCATTGTTAGAGTCGAGGTTACGAAGAATCATGACAACAAACCCCTTCTTTAACCTTAGTTGATGGTCGGGTGGAGACGAACCTGCAGTCAATGTATTCAATAGTTCTACTGGATACCTGCGGGCGTTTCGATCCTCGTTCTCCACCTTTTCGGTGCTCAATAACGTGCGATACGCACCCGAAATCATGTTTCCAACAATCTCATTGATTTCCAGCAGAGCACTGTTCTTGGTTACTAGAATGACTCTAGAAATAATCCAATCCATTTCAGAGTGCCGTGTCGCAATTCCGTCAAATATGGAACGACAGAGGTCTCACTACAAGGTACATTATGGCTATTGGTGGTAAATTTGACCTCCGGAGGAGATACAAATTTGGGTCTGATTTTCTTTGAAAATGGAGGTCCGACATTTTTGATTTCTGACCGCGGCAGGTGGTCCCGCTCGCCAATGGGATACTTCCGATACTGGGATTGGATCAATCTGTGTTTTCAGCATTTAGAGGTCTCAGCTCAGTTTCTCCCGCAGGTTATATCGACCATCTGTGGAGGTAAATCTGATCCTAGGTTTGGAATGCGTCCCCAGTGGTCTTATGATGAACACGCCGGTGGTTAAATTGACAACCCACATCTGTGTTTCAGAATATGTTTTGTACTGTTTCACTGCATTACTGTCGTTGGTTGGTTTCAGATCCGTCGATATGGCAACCTTTACGTCTTGGGGTTGTTTTCAAATATGTAAATGTGGGATTTGTTACAAAATCCATCCGTTTTGCTACTACTTCCACTACTTCATGTTATTCTTTTGTACAACCCTGTGCTGTTTTCGCAGTATGCTACTCATACCCCCATGCGGGTATTTGGATATCCAATTCTCGTTGTAGTTGAAACCAGTATAGAAATTATACCCTTGGACGGGTAGAATATTTCTGTGACACAGCTGCACCTCGGTAGACCTCACTCGTGGATGAGAACGATTCTCATTCCTCTCAGTCTGATTGCGTTGAATGCGCATAGATATTCCTTGCGATGATGCTGTCAGCATCACTCAGTAGTGATGACATCCGTAAGCAGCAGCAAGGAAGTATTGGAATCGGAATAGTACGCGACATAGTTGCATCACCTGAGCGGAAGTTGCTCTCAAGTCAAACATCCGTGCTCAAAGAAATTTCCACGGCTCTGGAGTCGTTGGAAAACAATATCAAGGACGTTTACGCCAGGCTGGATAATGTGTCCCAGCTGACCACCGCAGTTCTCTTCTCCTCACCTCTCGTAAGCTCTAAGAGTTGCAGCTTAGATGCTGCTGCGCAATCAATCACCGTAGAGGCATTTTTCGGCCACGACTTCATGCGCAAAATCTCCGTGGCAAACTTCCTGGTATTCTTCATCCGTCTCATTCGAACTAGCTTTACGGTTCGTGGTCGGGCCGCTCCCCAGGAGCGCAGTCACGTGCCTGAACCCAAAACAGGATTCTTCGAACATGCCCTCTCCAGACCGACCAAACGTCCGTCGAGAACGAAGGCAAGGATATCATGAGTTTTCTGCTTCGCAAGGCAGTGCGAATACACACCCATTGGGTCCTGCTCAGAAGAAGCGCAGAGTGGTACCATACACACCGCAAGGGCTTATGGATCCGATTAAGATCATTCGAGTTGTAATAATATGGATCCTTCCGGTTCGGTGTTAATCCGTCACGGAGGGGGTGTCCACGGTAGCGGCAAATTACAACACCACCAACATCTCTGCGAGGGCGGCGGTTATGACTCCGGTAAACGGGCGAGTGGAATTGCGACCCCGAAGGGGGTAGGGCTCAATGGGCATAGGCTTCCACCAGGCGGTGGAACGACCAAACTGGGGAGCGTGTGCTTCCGGCCCTCAAGAATAACCCGCACGGGACGATCTTCTCATTCCTCTTTTTCCTCCGTTCTGGCCAAAGGGATCTCTGCCCCCTTTACTCTGGGGGCATACTGCCTCGGCCCCTAAGTACGTCGACCTCCGGCGGCCGGGCAGTACAGTATTGATCCACTTCTACTTTGGATCACTACAGTGGAGTACCTCTACTGTACTCCACCGGGGAGTAATCTGCACAGCGGCACACGTGGCTGTGCTCCCGCCACCTGTACTCGTGGCAGAGCGCGCACCACGTGTGCTAGCTGGGACTCCCCCGGCTGACACTCCTATTACACTAATTTCTACGCCCCTACAGTAGGACCTTCTAGTCTACTGTACCCTGTCGGGACGTAATACGTACAGCGGTACACGCGGCCATTCGGCCGCCACCTGTCACCCGTGGCGGTACGTGCACCCCTTGTACAAGCTGAGTTATCCCCTGCCTTTCCAGTATCGTCTGATCACCCCTACGGGATCTCCCTCCGGGTCGTTACGTTTACCGACACCGGTCGGTACCCGTTCTCCCACACACCCCTCTTCTTCGAGTGCGCCACGTCCTCGGGGCGGCCATTACGTTCGTGGCCCGTGCCCGTGCGCCTCTTTCAAGCGGCCGTTGTACGGACGTTACCGACGCCAAGGGGCCATTGCGAAACTGGCCCAAGCTGGCCCGGTGCGAACTCCCTTCGGGTCGTGATTAGGCGTCGGTTCGCCTCTGCGGCGCCTCCAAGGGCTACGAGACTACCTTCTGTATTTTTCCGACCGTTCTTGGTCGTCGCCGCGTCACCGTGGGTTATATCTTTTCCTCGCAGCGAAAACGGGCGACCGAATCACGACGCGGTGCGACGCCTCCGCACGGCGGCATTCGACATCGCGGTACCCCTCCGAACTCGGACACACGGTCTATTCCCTTCAAGCCTTCCGTGCCCTTTCGGGGGCCCTCGTTGTTTCTGTCCTTTCAGGAAGGCCGACACATCCCCGTGTGGCAGAGGTGAGCAGGTGACTTCTCTTACGTACGCTCGTTCTGTGGTCGGTTCGCTTCTCCCGCCCCTTGCGTTATTCTCCGCCATCGGACAATTCCCTCCCACGTAATGATTAGGAGGCAGGCCCGCTGCTGAAGGGGCGTGGGCTACGGAGCGACGCCTTTCATGCCAACAAGTGCGCACAGTACCTCCACGGACGTAATTCAGGGCGAAACCCGCTGGGGCGCCCCTCCGCCGCCGGGACCAATTTCGCGGACGGTGTCTATAAATACGGACGCGACGGCATCCTTACTTCCTACAAGCCTGCCGCCCGACCCCACGTCCTTCATCTCGGAACCCGCTCGAGCACCTGCAACGCCTCCAGCTATGTCTCCTCTCGCGCCCGGGTCGGCGTCCCGCTGGGTCAACCCGGAGAAGGAGTACGACCATCGTCAGCGCCTCACCCCCGCCGAGGCCTCCCAACGTCCTTCTGCGGTGCCGTACCCGGCCGAACAGTACGTGGGCTGGTCCCATTGGTACTTTTACGCCCTCTGTTTTCAAGAAGTCTTTCAAGAAGGAATCAGCCTCCCGAACGGGTATCGCCGAAGCAGGGACGAAGCGTAGACAGCTCGCTGGCGCCACCTACCCCTGACACCGAACGACCGGACGCGCACACATGGACGAGCCGACTTATCCCATGTGCGTTGTTGGCCCGAAAGGGAGTATCAAATCCTTCTGCAGACCATCCTCTCCGGTCTTCAACATCTTCCGCGACCTGAAAACGTCGCACCTGGCGGGAGTTTTCTCCCTGCGGGTCACAGCGTGCTCGGGCTCCTTGCCATGTCATACGGGGCTAGGGGCTCCTAGCCCGTATGACCGGTTGTATTGGCTTCGCGATCGGCGCTGGTGCGGTGACAACTGTTCCGACGAGTCCCCGTGTTCGGAATACGCAGTGGCTCTTCTATGGGTGGCATAATTTGGAATTCTTCGACATGCCTTCCCGACTCCGGCCGAACTACTACATCCGCGTGCCACCGCAACCCTTCTATCGGGACGTCCCTCGGTCGCTCTGCGTGCCCACGCCAGCCGTTTCGGCGTATCACAGTAGTTTGGATCTTCAGAAGAGTCGCCTCCGTGCATGGCTTTGGCAGATCGTCGCTGTAGAGTGGGCCGTATCGTCCGTCATGGCCTTCCTTCACGCCGCCCGCTACGGGATTCAGATGATCGCCAAGAACCGTGACTGGCGTCTCTTCCAAGACCGCGGCATCGCTTCCCCTGTGGGTCGACTGATGCCTCTGCCTACCGG